AAGACCAAAGGGAAGTATCCTAAGTTGTCTTCTCCATGGAAGGGCCCATATGACATAGTGGAACGTCTCTCAGACATGACTTTCCGAATAAAATGTGGTCGGCGAGGTAAGCCAAAGGTGGTGCATGCCAACAGGCTTTGGCGTTATCACGGTCCAAGACATTTCAGTTGGAACGAAATGAACAACAGAACAAATGACGCTGCTGAAGACGTGTCACCTGAAAAAGCCACTATCGAAGAAGAAACTCTACTCGGTTTTGAGAAGGAAAACAATGAAGCCGTTAATGAAGTTACTACAACTGATGTGACTGCTATTTATTTAGTACTTAGTTAGGTGCTGGATTTTCTATGTATTACTTATTTAGCAATTAGTTAGGTGCTGCATTTTTTATATATTACTTATTTAGTATTTAGTTAGGGGCTGTATTTCTATGTAATATTTTTTTAGTACTTAGGTGCTGCATTTTGTATGTATTACTTATATAGTAATTAGTTAGGTAGTACATTTTCCATATCTTACTTATTTAGTACCTAGTTAGGTGGTGCATTTTCATATATTAATTATTTATTACTTAGTTAGGTGCTGCATTTTCCATATTCTTATTTATTCAGTACTCAGTTAGATGCTGTATTTTCTATATATTACTTCTGTAGTACTTAGTTAGCTGCTGCGTTTTCCATATATTAATTAGGTAGTACTTAGTTAGGTGCTGCGTTTCCTATGTATTACTTATTGCATTTTTTATATATATTACTTTTGTAGGACTTGGATGCTGTATTTTTTATTCATTACTTGCTATTACCTGCAAGGTCCATCATATCAAGGAACGGCTCCTTACCTTTTACAGTATGATCAAAGAATGATAGTATTTATCTCTTTGTATTGTCTTATGATGGATGTGATAGGTACATTTGTTTCTTAATTCTAGTGTATTTAAGTGAAATTTTTTCATTATGGTTATAAGTAGATCATATAAAATTGAAACTGAGATACATATTTTGTTGTTATCACTTTATATTTGAAGAAATTAACATAAATGGCCGAGAATTTACTTATACCTTTGTCAAGTGTCCGGTAAACAACTGTTTTACGGGATTGAACTGAAATTGGTGACCGTAGGTCATCAACAGAGAGGAACCTATGGAGAAAAGGGTTAACAAAAGTGGTTATATATCAAGAAGTAAATAGACACACCCGATAACACAAATCGGCCATGTCACTGACTTCTAGTACATATAAACCCGACGTGTAAATACAGGTGTAGCTCGTTAAAGACCACAGAATACAAACAACCACAACATGAACGAAAGGATCCTAGAATTAATACTATTTTTATGAAATTGCATACTTAATTGTTATTGTTTCATTAACATTTTCGTAGAAAGCTACACCATGGTTATATGAACTACCTGTTTCTTATTTTGAGCTGATGGAGAACAGGGAACACAACTAGTTAAGAGCACCAACTCTTTTAATACTCTAATCAAGGACTAAAATTTGACTGTCACTCTTATAACTCATCCATAGCTTCAATTTTTCGGCAAGGGGACGTGAATTTGGGATCATTGGATTCATTGTCTGGCAGGCTAATCACTAAGACCCGCTCGACACGCATTGTTGGACAATGAGAATGAGTTCAGAGTCTGCGAGAAAGCGCCCGGTCATTTGTAATAACTACGTCCACATTGAATAAGATAACAATGCAGTTCTAAACAACAGTTTCTGCAAGGCCCGAGCACCAAAAACTAACTTAACAGATTCTTCGTGGCATGAAGAGAGAATGACCCATGTCCAACGTCGCATTACGATCAGGAGTTGTCTTCATAGAATTGGCTACAATGCCAGAGTAACAAAACGGAAGCCACTCCTCATTCCAGGCAATACAGTACGTCGATAAAAGTGGCATCACAAATGATATCACACCTTCCTGCCTTTTGAGACACTATTTCTTTTGCCAAGTCCAGACTTGCACAACTTTTGGACAATGGAAGCATCTGGGTTTGGTGACTATCGTCAAATGAGCTTTCGTTGAACAGTCAACGAGTCACAGTATTTCTGTTATGGCGTGGGATGACATATAGGCAACTAGGTGACAACAGCTTGTGGTATACGAAGAGATAACCACTGCTGCTTTTCGGGCAAAGCTTTCGATTTCTCTACACCAGTAAACAGCTTACGAGACAAGACAATTTTTTTATGCACAATGGGGTTTCTGCTCATTCAACCCGATTAACAAAACGATGGTTTGAAGACCAGGGTAATACCATACTTATGTGACCGGTCCACTTTCCGAAAACGAAACCTATTGAGCATGTATGTTCCATCTTTGATCATTTTTTTACGAAAGGTCCTGATCAATAAACTTCTAGCAACACCCATATTCAAGTTCTTCGTCACGAGTGGGATTCAGTCCCATAAGCCTAGATTTCAGATTTTGTAACTACTATATGTGACTCTATTTCTTTCTTAAATATTCCAAAGAGCATATCCACTATAATTACTCATGGTAATCTTATACCCTTTGTTCATTTGCAGAAATGACATTCTTTCTAGCGAAGATGTCTATTTACGTATTGGTAGGGTGTGTATACACAAACAGTATCTGAGTTAGGAAAAGTAATTAACACACAATAATATAAAAATAGTACTCCAGCCGCTTCATTTTCTAATTCTTTCCAGACAATTATTAGTTTGTTGTTCATATTTCTGATTAGCTTTACAATATTTCCACAAGAAGATTTACGCCAAGTTGAGCTCAGTTTGCGTATTTTTGACTATCAGTTTGTATTTATATCTTAACAATCAAAGCGGTACTTTGCATGGCTTGGTGGTTAAGGTGCTCAACTCGCAATTTGAAGCCAAACTGAAAGTCGCGGGTTTGAATCTACGTCACCAATATGGTTGACCTTTTAGCCGTGGGGGCGTTAAATGTGATGATCAGTCCTACTATTTGTTGATAGCTCAAGAGTTGGCACTGGATGGTGTTGACTAGCTGAGCCCTATAGTCTATCACTGCTAAATTAGGTACGGTTAGCGCAGATAGCCCTCTTGTAGCTTTGCGTAGAAAACAAAAACAAATAGTAAAGGAGACAGTTTACATTCACGTAAGCTTTAATTGTAGCTTCTAAACTTGATATAGAATAGTCATCCCCATATTTTATTCACATATTGTCAACTGATAATTGTTCCTGTATTTTAAACGATAAAACCTGACTTTGCTTCGTTATATACTTGTTACGGAAAATAATAGAAGCGGTTCTGAAAGATATTGTGTTGATTGAGAACTAAAACAATATATGTATAAACACACACACATATATGAACATATAGTACCACAACTTACCACAAATTTTACAGCAGTGACCAATAGGTTGGATTGGATCTGAACATTGTGGAGTCGGACATTGAGGTGTCCGAAAAGCACAGATAACTAAAAGGATCTGTAATTATAACTAAAATAAATATAGATAGGCAAACTAATAAGTTTACATATATATTTCATTATAGCCTAGGTTTGGTTTTATCAACGGCCCAAACTTGCAAAGTATCAAGAACAAGCTAAAAACAAATTCCGAAAACGTCAAAAACACCCAAAAAAGGTTCTAGCAGATGAAAAAAAAAGATTTATTTATGTTTTCAAATCCGACGGTGAAGTTTATATTATACGCATCCTTGTAAATTAACTTCTATCTTTGAAAAGTACGTGTATATCATGTCTTCGTTCTATGAGTCAGTGTGGTTTTGATGAATATTAGTAACTAACAGACTAAAACTCCAAACTTTTAAAACAGGAGAACTTCGGACATTATATATTATGATTTACGACTTAGTCTCAAACTGTTTAATCCTTTGCAGAAATACCACACGTTTGTTAAGTCATTTGCGAGATGGACACGGATATTATATTTTATCATTTATAACCCATTTTATCTAAGTATTCTAATTCTTTGATTTGACGTCATCGGACACACCATGTGTAGAGCTTAAAAACTCTCTTTTCAGAAAAAGCTACGTTTCAAATGTCTCTTAGTGTCACCTGGTGTCAATTACATGAGATGACTGGTGTTCAAATATAACAGACATTGAATTTGCTAGGAAAGGCAAGAACCATTTAATTAATTATCTCTTATATTGTTGCCAGAGCTCTTAACATTGTATAGTTATTGTGTGTGTTGTATCTTGGTGCACAAATATGTCGAGCTTTTGATGAATTATTGAAGATCTAAACAGATTTTTCCCACATTATCTGTTGTTAGGAAAATACACAGCGATAAATAGTTATCCTTGATGTTCCACTGATAAACTTATGACGTGTTGTATATCATGAAAGGCAATAAAATAAGAAGAAAATGAACTGATAAATTGGATCACAAAATAAAACGAGCTTAATCTACAGATCAATGCATGACAAAAAAAAAACGATGATCAACAAAATAAGTTATGAAATAAGTAAATTTAATTGTCTCAAATAACAAAAGTTTGATTATTATAATCTGTATTTAAACTGAAAGAAAAGCTGTATTTTCATAGCATGAATTCTTATTCTTTCATTTAAGATTTTTAAGTTTTAAAATTTTGTTATGTTCATATTTTATCTTTAAAGACCCTCTATGGCTCAGCGGTAAGTACGAGAGCTTATAACTCTAAAATTCAGTGTTAAATCCCTGTAGACTGAGCGTGACTTATTGGATAAAGTACCAGACTATGGATCTGCCAGTCCATATTCACGTTGTATTAGTCCCCCCCCCCAAAAAAAAAGCGCTCTCCAATTCGGAGCCGTGGGTGCATTATAAGGGTAATGTCAAATCCCCTATTCGGTAAGAAAGGTGTAACCAAAGAGTTGACGTTAGGTGCTTTGATTTCTTCCTTCTAGTCTATTAGTTCAAAATTAGGGACTTCTGACGCAGCTATCCTTTGAGTAGTTTTCGCGAATATGCGGAAAATATATTGATCCCTTTAGTGCGCCTAGCACAGATAGCCCACTTGTAGCTTTGTGCGTAACAACAACAAAAATCTACTTAAAAAAGATTTTAACAAATTATTGTAAAAACAAAAACTCGATAAGAAAGTGTTTTTATATTTGTACTCTGAAGTTTGCCTTGATAGAAATGGCTCAGGATCGATGTTTGCATTTGGACTTGAAAAGAAGTTAGTATATCAAAACATCAAGTTTAATTGTTTTTATTTCTATAGAGGTTCGAAAAAATAAAACATGTGATGATGTGTAAACACGATTAATAAAAAAACACCACTTGATAGTTCAGGTCCATATATGTGAATCCACTTTTATTTTTTGCTCCCCCCCCCCCAGTGGTTCAGGAGTACGTATGAAGGTTTATAACACTAAAAATCAGGTTTTGATACCCGTGGTGGGCCCAGTACAAATAGCCTATTGTGAAGCTTTGTGCTTCACTAAAGACAAATACTTTTATTTTAGAGTTTAGCTAGACTGCGAAACCTACAGATACAATTCATGCCAAATATGTTCAGGGAAAAAATGTCAAAATCTCTCAATTAATTTTTCATTTTGGTGTAGATAAAATAAAGTTAAAATATAAATATATTTGCTTGTCTGAACACAATGTGTTAATCTTTTAACCGAATAGAGGGATTGACTGTCTGAAAATGCAAAGAGTATTTGGTAGAACCATATCTTAAATATGAGATCCTTGATTCTCCTAGTCCGATAAGCTAACCATCAGACTATGCCCGGAATACACCCATATATACTGTAGAGTTAGTTTATCATAAGTGTATTTAACATACATCTCTCCTGTCATTTCCACAGGCACAACTTGTTGAATCAGAACAGTCATTCTTCTCCACAGTTATTAGCGAATTATCAGAGTCGAACAGCCGTTTGCCAGTTGGACTTCGAATAAAAGTCGAAAAAGAATTGTTGTCGTTGTAAACCTAAAAAACAAAATAACGTCTATTGTATATTTTTTTAATAACGTGTTTCTAATTCTTTAAAATCGAGATTTAAAGCAAAGAAAGAAATGTTCGAAATGTTTCAAATAACATTATAAGAAAATGTTAAAAACAGAGTACACAAATCTGATCTTATTAAAAAAGGGTTTGGTCAAATACGAAATTACGAAAGAAAAACAAAAAAACAACACAAAAATACATGTATTGTTATTATTTTCCTAAAAAATTAGTGTAACGTACTTTCATGCTTTAAATAAAATTACAACTTTGTACCAAGTCTGTATGAAGACTTCAAATATAATATTTCACTTTAAAACACAAGCGTTTCATATAAATTGTCACATGACAAGAAAAAAGCTCAGTTGTAAGATGGTTTATTACTGTAACAAGGCAACACGCTGTAGAGTGTCTAGGGTTATGTGAATAATACCTCTATGTAGGTTGATACTGGGAAACATATTTACTCTAGTTTCCAGCGAAACTTTTTCCTAATGGCCAGTCAAGTCGTATTTTATATATTTTTTTGCTTTGTTTTATAGTGTTAAACATATCTTTTATTCTAAAGTTCAGTTACTCCAGCTCTTTGAACTCATGTTGAGTAAAGTCTGTTTTATAGTGTTTAGTTATATTTTTGGCATAATGTCAAACTGGTCTGTGTTCTAGTGTTTAGTGTTTATTCAATATTCTGTCATATATATTTATTATTGTGCCAAAACAACTGTTTGTTCCAGTGTTTGTTTGTATTTCTTTCTAGTGTGTACCTATAATAGTGTTTTGATTTCTAACCAAGAACGAACACGTTAGGAATGTTCCTTTATATTTATTGGATTCTTTCAATAAAGTTTTACCCGTAGTTACCGATTAAGATAAAACAATTTTTTTCAAGGACAACTCTTCGGAGGGCGGCCCTAATAAAACGATTTAGGCCTTGCATTTCGATCAGGCACTACTCAATACAAATTGTTGGCTCCAGTAATTTAATAAACTTTTATATTTTAATGATGACACATCTTAGAAAGAACTAAACAATTTCACAAAACTAAAGTAGCTGTTACTTGTTTTATATTTATATTAACCAAATAATATTGCATAATATGTAAATAATGATTAGATTAAGCTAGTTATTTTATTATTTTTCAGTTACTTATGATTATATATATATATATACATATTTGTTATTATAAGGATTATTTTGCATTATGAGCTTAGTAAAAAATTTAGGACTATATTAAATTTCATAAGGTGATTGATTTTATTGGAATTACGGGCGAAAGTACTGATAACACGAGGATACCAAACTCACAAACCATTCTAATCATTATCAACTTGTGTTTTATAACATTGTATACTCCTAAGTAGAGCGGTATGTTTAATTAGCTACATTGTTATTACAGCTTAATTTTTACCTCTGATATACATAACTCGCTTTGCTGAGGATTTATTGACAATTTAACTTAAAAATGAAATTACCAACTCTCTAATCATACAGTTCACTTACCATTCCGTTGATAATGATTGAGTTAACTTTAATTCCACCAGTTTGTGTCTTAACGGATACCTTGAAGCTTTTACCAACTGGGAAAACCACATTATCCCTAGGACATGGGACTTGTTCGGAATGGGGAATAGGAGAAGGATAGGATCCTCCAACAATGTTCATTGCAGATGAGGAAGAAACGTTCCAGTTTGGGGGATCAAACCAATTTCCCCTTAAGCCTTTAAACTGGATATCTGTCGGTGAAATATTCAATGATTAGCCTACAACTACAAATATGCCATATTTGTTATGTTTTAATCTTTATTGAAGTAAATAGGATGAAGAGAGTTCTTATTGGTAATTTACAACAACTCGATAACACATAAAGAAAAATATAGCAGAATGTATGGTGAGTTGCATCTACTAGCATATAATACCTGCACTCCACTGCGGAGTTCAAAGGCCCCCCTGTGATTCAGAGAGGGCCTAACATTTATAAATCTACCAAACTCCTCTACATCGAAGATAGGTTCTATAAGTTAGGAAAACGTTACTTTTAAAAATTAAAAATTAACTAGCCTCTGTCTTTTATATCTTAAATAATGGTCTTTCAGGGTGACAAAAGATCATCTCATGGTATGCTTATTTCAATAATAACAGTAAAATGATCCATGCATTTGCTGTGGACAAATGTGACAACACTATAGATGTAGTGGCTTTTAAAGAAGTTGAAGAATACTTATCCCAGAGCGGTATCCCTTAGGGGTGTCCGCAACACTAAGTGACTTTAAAACAGAGGGATATTGCCTAAGTTAGGCACTACCCAATACCTGGACACGTGTGTTTATTTACCATCAGTATAACGAATACGTGATTAACCGCCCACAATCAAGAAAATATTTACTCAGCAAAAAATAAAGCATCTAATAGCACCAAAACCTAGGACGCTTCAAACACCCAAAGTATTGAACCAGGGCCCATGTTATGTCATAACTGTAATGACCAATCAGAGCAACTACTCCTTATTCACTTTCTCGTCTTTTTTTCTCTTTTTTTCATATCTCCAGACAGTCCCTTACCTACCCCTCATACAATCTCATCAAAGAACTTAATATTCCTCTTACCCCCCGTAAGCCCCAAAACAAATTCCATCTGTCTGTTCTTCCAATGGTCGATGAAGAGGGACTCTTGTCCATGAACATCCTTGGGAGACTCTACCGCCTCAAAACCCCAGTTTCAATTCGTCATTCAATAATTCAGTTACTAGTTTTATCTTATATAAATAAAGCAACAAAAATATGTGTGTGTGTGTTTGTCTATTTGTCTGTTATCTAGCTACTCCTATGTCGCTGGGCCAATCTCAATCAAACTTTGTTGGATGATAGTTTGGAACAAGCACCATATTAATGGGAGGTTCACAATCCCCTCCACCCAAATTATTGCTATTATTGAGCATTTATTATCTTTGACGTCAGTTAACTACATTCATAGATGACATCACGTTCTTACACCAAAAAAAAACTTTATTAAATTTTCTATAACACAACATACACACAGTAAGACACTTCTGCGGCCAATTACCATCAATTAATTAATCACGTGAAACATTGTGGAAAGACATTAAAGAGCTGGGTGTTGAAAGCGGTTAACAGAAAGCACCCATACCGCCACTACTTTCTCCGCTACCTCTTCTTACAAAGTCACCATGTTTTAAAGTATATATATATACATATTGAATTCTTAAAGCTTATACAAAACTTTGGGTGAGGTAATAATGAATACTGTAATAATATGTTATGTCATAAATAAATTGTGTTAAACTTAGGATTTTTGTGTTATTTATCATAGCATCTACTCCCACACTTTAAACTCGTAACCGGACAAACAAAAAAACGGGTACCCCAGCTTCTAATACATGAAACAACAATTTATTGTTTTGAAAATTCCAAAATATATCAGAAAAGTTAAAAAAAGTTGTTTCGATGGGATGCAAACATATATGTTTCTACATTTACTACTGGGTCTTAGTATCTGATGTTTTCAACCTTAACAACACCTTATGCGACATATGGGTCAGACAATCAGATCAGTGATTTTAAGGTTCAGGCGTAGCCATTCCTAATTCACAGATGCTGATCAGGGGGTGAGCAACTACTAATTGAACAGCGGGATTGACTATCACGGTTATAACATCCTTACATTTGAGAGTGCGGAACGTGTTTAGCAGCATTTTCCAGCTCGAGCTTTAGAACTGGAACGCTAACTTCTAGGCCACGCCATGTTCTTGGTTCGTAGTACAGTGATTGAAATATTGCTCTCTTATATTCGCCCTGAGGTAGTATTTAAGAATCTTATAGAAACACGTTTAATTATCAGTTGTCTAATTTTCGTATTAAATTTGTGTTAACTAATTTGTGAAACCATAAAGACCTCTATTGATGGAGTTTTTCTTCAACTATATAAACTTATACTTTGTTGTAATTAATTTAAATCACTACAGGTTTTTACATTACAGATTTCTTTATTTAAGAGTAATATTGTTCATTTGTATATATTACATTACTCTTCTGATATAATTACTCTTACGTTTCGGTTTAAGGGACTGTCTTTCCATTTATATTACATGCTATGAACACGAAGTTACTTTTACCTTGCCCTTCACAAGACGGATCAGTTGCAGAGATTGAGCCTTCCGAAAGAGAAAACACAGCCGAATTTCCGAGAACGAACTGCCCATTCATAGGTAGAACCTAAAATAAAATAAATGCTATTTAATGAAACAGTTTAAAGTCCATTTAAACATTTTAAAAACCCAAATAGCTTATACAATATGTATGTGTATGCATTGTGAGATGTGTTTTACATCTATAGCTATTGTACATTTTGTATATTTAATAATTTAATAATTAGAACCAGTATCAATTGGCCTTGCTGAACCAAATCTTTTTATGACGAAGAGTATTCATTTTTTAAGTGGAACATCTTTCTAATTAATCAGAAGAGTTTGTGGTAGAAAGGATGCTCGTTTGTTCTAAGCATAAAGCTAACACAATAAGCTCTCTCTGTTCCGCTCACCTCTGGTAAAGAAACCCGATTTTTAGCGTTAATATATTAAAATGAGAACGAATTAGTGTCCTGGTTGTTTTGTATATTTATTTAGTTTTGTCAAAAAATTATTCAGTTATTTTTCAAACTCTTAAGTAATGTACTAAATAAATTATAAATATTTCCAGATTCTCATTCATCATGACGTTGTTTCTTGCTTTCACGTGTTATTCAAAACAATAATACCGTTTCTTATTGTAACTTTGTTTTTATTACTTACTCTAAACAATAAACCTTATTAATATCTTGTCTCTGGCATTCAAACATGAAATAAACGTGACATTTATGATAATCTTTGACACCCAGTCAGTGGCATTAACAAGTGTGTTGACAATATCTCTGAATTACAATCATAGATCAGAAGTAGTGGAATCTAATTGCCCAGTATTACTGTAAACTCTGTCCATGTAAACAAAGACAAAGTTTAAAACATGACAGCCATAATCTCCGTTTGGCGGACGTAAATGTGGAAGGAAATGTACAATGCGCTCTTAATAGATGTAGCAGTACCAGTAAGCATTTTGTTTCTTTATGTATATATGACGGTTTTAAAACCTTGACTTCAAGCCAATTAACTTACCATTGTACGAACCTTCAGGCTACCAGGAATGTACACCACAACGTTCTCTTGTGCTGGAAAAATGACTCTATCTTTATTGCAAGGATTACGTTTTGTGTTCCAATTGTTGGGATTATCGAAATTGTTGTTTAAGATCCAGGTTTTTATTGTTGATGAACAATAACTACCACCAACTGAAGATGAAAACAGAAAATAGGTTTAACTGAAAGATAACAATTCAATCATCTCCCAACGTACAAAACTGTATGAAAAACAAAACAAAAACGGACAGACATAAAACATTAAGGCATTATTATACGAAAAAACTGAACTTACAGGAAATAACAGCATAAATGGACAACTCAACCTTTTTTTTCAGTAGCTAAACAATGTAGATATATTTTTGTTTTTCGTAGTTTCGTGTTTTAGGCAGCTCATATATTCGTTTTTATATTGTGAAACGTATTCTAAAATGTGAAACATGTTTCTAGATATCTTTCAAAAGTTCTTTCTAAAGACAACTTTATATTTTGATTTTATGGCAAAGTTGCTAAAACTGTCTGCCGCCGTCTTTAATTTTGGCCTACTGACCAGAAAAGGGGCAGCCAGTTAGTAACACCCGCCATACTCGATAAGGGACTGATTCTCATTCTTACAACGCACTTAAAATGCGGGATATAGTATGTAATATTACACGGATTCGCACCCATTTCATCAGCTCCGAAATACAAATCTCTACCACAGGGCCCTCGGACATAATTATCAAGTGTAAACATTTATTTGTATATGGAGTTTTCAATGCTTATATGTAATGCATTGGACTCTGAAAGGTCTAGCTATTTTAATGATAGTCAAAACTCTTAATTAGTTTTATTCGCAATTCCAAAATACAAATAATCTTGAATATTGTGGATAGCATGTAAACTAAAAAATTATTGGCACTTCATTTATTCTTGATCGCTGTTTCACAAATGATATATTAATGAGGGCACTTCATTTGTTCTTGATCGCTGTTTCACAAATGATATATTAATGAGGGCACTTCATTTGTTCTCGATCGCTGTTTCACAAATGATATATTAATGAGGGCACTTCATTTGTTCTCGATCGCTGTTTCACAAATGATATATTAATGAGGGCACTTCATTTGTTCTCGATCGCTGTTTCACAAATTATATATTAATGAGGGCACTTCATTTGTTCTTGATCGCTGTTTCACAAATGATATATTAATGAGATATTAATTATATAGCCACACACACACACACATATATATATGTGTGTGTGGACGTAAAGCAACTGTTTTTAACCTTGTTTGAGGTGACTGTACGTTTTTAATTTTTGAAAATAACAATAATAATAAAAACAACGGGTACAGCAATATACGAAAGTTTATACGAAAAACCGTCCTCGGTACAGTAGTAAGACATTTTACTGTACATATGATTCCAAAATACGTGAAGTCCAATACGTGCTTCTGAACTATCCATGTGAATGCAATATAAACACGTCCAGGTTGTTTACACCATAAAGTCGGTTTTTTTTTCTTTTTTTTTTACTATTGTAAGTTTTCACGATCTCAAGATTTTCTATCCAAATTAAATCAGCCACTACCTATTAACTATGTATAGTATGATAGTTTAGAATTATCAGCTCTTTGAGTTTAGGTATCATGTTACCAATTCAGATTTTGACAGACTAAGATCACTCCTCCCATGACCCTCTGTTTTAACACTATTGGTCTTGATGATTTAAGTCAATGTTTTCTGATATTAGAACCTTCTGTTTCCCTTACAGTCTTGGCGATCTAACATTACACGTTGTTTTAGGCCAATTTCATAATTTCAGAGGTCTTGATGGTTTAAGTACATGCTCTCTGATATTAAATAACTTCTATTTTCCTAACAATCCTGGTCATCTGAAGTTACATGTTGTTTCAGGCCAACACAGTTTCTGAACTACACGTGTTGAGGGAAGTGTTTTCTGATATTAGACACCTTCTGCTTCCCTCACAATCCAGGGGATCTAACGTTACAAGTTATTTTAGGCCAACATAGCTTAAGACACGTTTAAAATCTAAGATTACAGAAACTAGTAACTATGCTATTTAAAATATACTTCCTCTTAGATTTCTTTTTCATAATGGGCACACGTCTTGAGGATAATATATATAGTGGTGTCCAAGAATACAAGATATTCTTACTAACAGCACAAAACCCTAATGCTTTTAAGCTTTTATATTCTACTACGCCAGACTAAAGACAAGTGAGTTACATATTGCATATATTAAAGGACAAGATGCTCTATTTAGAAAACAGATAATATTTACCTTAGTAACAGATCTATGGTTTCAACTTGAACCATATTAATCTATAAATGCGTTATAGATTAAACAAACTGAGGTACCTGTCCTTTGTCCAGGTTATGAACTTAAGAAAATGTGGATGCTATGATAAATAACACAAAAATTCTAACTTTCACACAATTTATTACAGTATTCATTATTATCTCACCCAAAGTTTTGTATAAGCTTTAAGAACTCAATATGTATATATTTAAAACATGGTATACACTGTGTAATGGTCAAGGTGACTTTGTAAGAAGAGGTAGCGGAAAAGGTAGTGGCGGTAGGGGGTGCCTTCTGTTACCCTCTTTCAACATCCAGCTGTTAATGTTCTTCTACAGTGTTTCACGTGATTGATTAATTAATTGACGGTCACTGGCCGCAGAAGTGTCTTACGGGCCGAAGATATAAAATCCCGAGTTAGAGTAGGAAGTGGGTATAACTCAAGAAACGGCTTATAAAAATCTTATGGTGGCTTTTGGAGCAGAAATTTCATCTGAGTTTATGTATTATGGCAACAGTAGAGGCCATTTTTTATTGCATTTCTCCACAGAGAGTCCTAGCGCGTTCTCTGAGATATATAAGACGACTATGTGCCTTCCCCCTACACTGTGTTTATGTTGTTATAGAAAATTTAATAAAATATCTTTGGTGTAAGGACGTGGCGCCATCTATGAATGTAGCTAACATTAACTCACGTCAAAGATAAAATATTATAAATAACAGCAATAATGGAATGGAGAGGGTTGTGAACCCGCCAATAATATGCCTCTTGTTCCAAACTATTATCCCACAAAGTTTGGTTGAGATTGGCCCAGTATTTCAGGAGTAGTTAGATAACAGAGATTTTTTTGCTTTATATATATATATAGGCACTCTCTTTCTTATTAAAGAATCTGTGGTTTACAGATTACACGTCATAAATTACTAGATACTCTGTAGAGGAAATGGATTATTTTCTTATGGTTGTTGTTTTTAGCGCAAAAGTACAAAATGGATTATCTGTTCTCTATCCACCACGATAAATCGAATCCCGAATTTTAACTTTATAAGTTCATAAACTTATCTCTAACATATCGGGAGGACCTTTCTTATTGAACATAACTGCGGAATCATGACATCTTTAGATGTTTAAGACATGGGTGTGGACGGACTGATTGAAAATTTTCAAACTCATGATTTCTTGGACAGAAAAGCATGATAATATTTGATGTATAAAACCTGTTCGCAAAACATTTTACATTAACATGCGTTTGCTTTTCTCAAAAAATAACAATAAATGAATGCCGCTATGATATAATTTTTCATCCTGTTTGTTTCTTAATTATTGTTTAAGTGGTTTGTTTGCTTGTTTTAGAGCAAAACCATATTAGACTATCTGCTGTGTCCATCGCGGAGAATTGAACCATGGATTTTGGCGTTATAAGTCTGTAGGCTCACCTGTGTCCAACCGGGGTACTATTGCTTAAGTGACTGTAAAACCAACGCATGCAGCAGTAACAATATAGTTAAAACGTGATTGCACACGGACCGCAGAGTACGTAAATATGCACCATAAGCTTTGGTTACATTCGGCAATTGCGTAAAGATAATTTCATGTATTTCACTTAATATAAGACAAGAACTCTAGAAATCATAGTTCACTGGCTTGCGAGAACTACATTCATTCGTCAGCCAAAAACATTACAATATTTTCTCGTTAGTTTTCGATAAGTGATTGACAGACCGAGATCTATTTATACAAATTTAGACAGTCTTTTCGATCTAGTCTTCTCATAAAACAAAACATAAATTAATATTCAAACTATTGAACTTACCGTATGTTAACAAAAGAACAAGTACGTGAAAAGAAGTTTTATACATCATTAGAAACTATGTAATCAGTCTGAAAATCTGGTAAGGTAGAATGCAATCAACACATCAGAATTTACACCCACAAAAATACTGGAGAACAAGAGATTAAACCTTTGTTTAAAATCACGACTGCAGCTTTGAGTTATGTTACGGTTAATACAGTTTGCGAAGAATGGTTATCGATATAGTTTAAGGTATAGTGTTACAGAAAACTTGTTGAACGGAGGGGGCGGGGTAGTCTGGGTCGCGTGACCCCGGGAAAATTAACAAACTCTGATATATGTTTTCCATCCAACGTGTCCTATCTCTTTGTTTAGTAAATTTAGAATATGATAAATTACTTGGATCACAATGTTTAAAAATAAGAGATACATCTTGCCAGATAGTACCAGTTTTATTCTTTTTTTTTTTTAAATAATATTTATTGAATTTTTTGTTCTTTGACATGAAAGAGGGCGCTGCACTTGTTCGAAGGTTTAGGATCTTTTCTGTGACCTAACTAGTTTTACTATTCAGTAAGTATTATCAGCGTGATTTAAGTGTGATGGAGAGGCGGAACGAGAACATGATCAGATAGAAAAAAGCGTACCAGGAACGCGATGTGTTGTGTACGAACATTAGGTTTAGATTTCTTTTAAGACTATAGGATTGCATGTAGATGCTCAGGAAACACACCCTTAAATTACAAATTTACAAGATAGGCTTAGTTTACCTACTTTTTAAATGTATCACAGATATGTAAATAATTAATTTAAAAGAGTTTTTTGATAAAGTAAAATTTATATCCACTTTATATGCTTTACATCATTGTAATTTTAAAAATTATCATCCCATATCTTAAGTGCCATTTCGTTTTCATAAAAGATAAAAGCTTTGTTTTACGTTTAAATTGTAAGGATTATTATTCATTGAATTTAATCATTCTATGAAGATCATGGAAGCGTTTTAGTTTAGGTTACAAAACAAAAATCACATTAGACTATGCATGTTTTTCCATGTTCCTTTGAAGTATTCCATTACTGATTTAAAATCTGTGGAATGTGGAGACAATTCTCTGCAGGCTTATTAGTTTCATTATTTCGTAAGTTTTCGGCGTCGACCAACGTTAGTCTAAGAACTTAAGAGTGAGTTTTAACGAAGAATGTATAACAATATGTCAGACAAATTAAAACTATTTTTACTTATTTAACTTAACAATGGCTGGATTAAGAACACATGTTTAATCTGTGTAAATTCTGGGAAGCTATGATGTATTGTTTCTACGGGATATACCTGAACAATTTCTGTCTGGATTAATGTGTATTGTAAGAATAACCTCGACAGATGGCGCCCTGGAATTCTTACCGTTTAGCCAGCGGGGTGGGTTGGAGGGGGAAATCTTTGATAGATTTTACCATCAAATGAACTTGTTGCTATATCTTTAAAATAATTGTTAATGTTTGATTTAATTTAACTTAATAAGAAATACAACAACATAGCAAAATATAACCAATGCAAGTTCAGACCAAACAGTTGTTTTTATTGAATCTCCGTCTTGTTGAATACCCTCGTGCATAAAGTCAACAAAACTGTACAAATTCAAAACGTACAAATGTCAAATTTTGAAAAGCACATTTTCCTACCTGTTTCTTTATAAACCGACATCTTAATGTTAGATTACATGTTGAAAACAGGAAGTTGACGCTATTTAACATCAAGTATGTCAAAAAGTAAGTTTTGCTTTTTAAATGGACAAAACAATACATTTTTACTAAAATTACAGATCACTTATAAGAATCTATTCTTGTTCATGTTAAAACAAAATTATACGAGTTTTCGTTTTTCAATTTACCACATTTTCCTAACTCGGAAATCTGTAAGTGCTGTTCAGTTTCGAACTTTTTTTTGTTATACTTAAAAAAAAAAGAACACAGTTTCATTACTTTGAATGATATTAAATGAAACTACTAACTTATTCTTACTCGAAACATTAAATTCTAAATTCGAAAGTTAATGGAAAAGAGAATGGATGCTCATTTACTTTTATTACCATTTTGTATATATGTTATTTTAATTGGAAACTTAAAAAGTTTAATTGATAAAGTCCAATATGATAACTTATAAACAGTTTTTACACCGACAATAATTCGATGGACTGATGGCTCATGAAAATCATTTTTTGCAGCACATTAAAGAAATGGAGCTATCATTGAAACTTTAAGAATTCACAAAGCTTTTACCAGACATTCGTTTTTTGTTCTAATAGGAATAGAATTCTATGTCATAGAGTAAGATAAAAATATGTCTTATCGTATGTTTTAATAAAGTAATTTATTTATACACTTTTTACTAGATGTGATTTTCAAAGAAATATTGAACGGTATTTAATTTATTCTTGAATTTGATTTAGTTAGCTTAATCTAACTAGCAAATCTTAAAATATTTACAAAATAAGATATAACAAAAACAACCGCAATTGGAAAAGGAATTAAATTTGAATTCTAGATCCCGAAAAAATATTTATTTTTGTGAAATGCACGCATAAAACATTAGTCTGTAAATACTATATCGATTCAGTGATACCAAAATATATCTGTGTTTTAAATAATCTCTGCAAATAGCACAAAGCACAATTAAAAGCTTGTTTAAAAGTATTTGTATTCGTTTTAAACTTTAAAAAAAGGACTTCCACATTTTTTATTGTCTTCATTGTAAATCTTATTTCAGTAAATAAAATCACTACTTCCCTCCCTACTGAAGATAGCATTTTCGTAAGATTAAGTAAATTTGTACGACAGAAAGTGAAGAAATATTTCCAAGGCTGTTTTAATAGTGGTAGAATTAATACTTAATAGGTGAAAACAAAAAACAAACAAGCTTATTTGTAATAGTTTTCTTTATGCTTAACTATTCATTAAAGACAAAAATATATTAATAGAATATTAATAGTACAATAGAAAAAAATCTTAAAAATTCGAATTAAGAGACAAGTGAAGATTTAATCACAGTTCGTAAATTGTGTAACAATAAATCTTCAAAGATCTTCCGAAACATTTTGAAACGAAATAGAGAAGATACTTTTTCAATAACATTTAATTTAATATTTTTTATTTTGTTACCATATAAGGTTCTTCTATTTTTTTAAAGCTAATAAAGTCTTATTCATTTGGATTCAATAGAGATGAAGCAGGAATAATAAGTTTTTCTGAGTATATGAGTTAGCTTTACGATACGATACGAGAATTTCTGGTGATATTTTTTGAAGATAAAATTCTCAATTTCGATTATTTACTGATAGCATTTTTCTTCTTTTGTTCATGGGATTAACAAATAGTTACTTTTTCAGATTAATATACCGTTCCCTTGGCTTGGTTTTGCTGCATAGTAGATTGGCCATATTATTATTTAAATGTACGAAAAAAAACAAACAAACTTTATTTATATTGTCAGAGTTATTATTTTTGAACAAAAAAAAACACTCATTGAAAAGAAATATCATTAACATAAACTAATTCTGAAAATTGAATAAAATATAAAGTAAGTTGTATAGAGGTCGTAAAAAGCTGTTACCTAGACTCACCGCTAGGCGAACATGCTCCATAATTGCTAACACATTAGATTATTCTCCACAATGTTTAGAGTAGCTTTAGTGAATACAAAAATGAGAATTGAGAAACACTGGAAGCACTTATAACTTCAGTCAAGACGAAGGTCGTTATGTTGCTTCATTAGAACCTTTAATTTGAAGAAGAAAGGGAACGCTCAATCTTGTGGGGTTTACCAGACTATAAAATAACTATATCATTAAAACATATTCAAAATATCTTTTTGGAGAGAGTTTTTCTATGCTTGGAAGGATCAGTAAGGTTTGTTTGCGGAATTACATATTATACATATAAAGTTTTAGAGGCTCAAGTGTTCGTATTTAAACACCCAAAATATATGTATTTGTTTGGTTATTTGTTCTAAGTCGAGAAACATATAGCTGTTCTTACAAACTTAATGCAATGCCTAAAATGCTGTACAGTAACTAAAAAAAGAAAGAAATACTTGTATATATATCTATAGGGTTGCAATCAGTTCCTGTTTTATTTCCTCACCAACTCTAATTAGAAATTGTCAATTGTTAGTAATCGGACACTATTTTAGATAGTAGTAAAAAAGTTAGGTTCCTATTGCGCTTGATAGGAATATGATAAATTTCATATTAAAATATTTTAGCTGAATCAATAAAAGTTATTGTGTTTAACAAATATTTAACATTAAAGTTTAAGTGATTTTGTTTTTTGTTGTTGAACATAAAACTTCACTGTGGGATATCTGTGCTCTGCCCACCGCGGGTATTGAAACACAATTTTTTAGCGTTATATGCCGTTAGACTTGCCGCTGAGCCACTGAAGGGGATTATAAATCTTAAAAAAGCCGATATATGAAAAAGGTATTCGGTAACCAGGTTTCGAAGTCAAGATCTCTCAATAACAGTACCAGTGTTCTACCATTGAATTATCCATAAGTAAGAAGCCTTACTTTTCAAAGTTCACGTATACAGCTTCTTACTACAAGTATGATCCACCAAGTCATAAGGAGTTTATCGATAAAATCACATTGAAATTCCGTTGGGAAACAGCGAAAGGGTGATATTTATCATCGACTTTTAAACAAAAGAGCCGGTTCCAGAGTATCTTTTCACTTATCAGCTTTTAGCAAATACGCTTCTTTGGTAAAATATTTTCAGGTGTGAAATTCTGCCTGTATTCACTTGAACTCAGTATATATATATATATGACAAACTGTTTTACATTATAATGGACGGAATTTCTAATTACTGACTGGAAAAATTGTGCAAAATCAACCATAGAAGACACGCAATTTAGGCACATTCCTTGTATTACAGCGTGAGCCAGAGCTATATTATTTCAAATGTTAGTTATATCCAACAATTAAAGCTAATCACTGAAGTAATGCATCATTTCTCTCACTATTTTCAGTCGATACAAAGTTTTGATGTGAGTCATATAAAAAATCATAGAATTTCTTGACTTGACATTGAAACTTTTAAAATTTGTGAAGATATTTGTCTAGTAGTGTTAAAGTAAATAAAATATAATATAATACGAAAGTGTTTGTTCCGTACTCCGAGTTTCAGAAGTTAGTGTTACTTGGTCAGCGTTTCTCAAAGGTAACCGTACCAGCAGGAGGGTAGAAATTGTTTGTTTGTCGTAAAGCACAATGTTACAATGGGCTGTCTGTGTTCTGGCCACCGCGAGTATCGAAACCCGATTTTTAGCGTTTTAAGACCACTAACTCATTGCTGAGCCACGTGGGAGGGGGGGGGGGTAGAAATAAAAGTATGAGTTTTGTTCAAGTGCTTGAGTTCTAAATGTTGTACACGTATGTTAGTAGGTAGACACTGGGTTGTCAAATCTGACACACAATGGTAGCAGCTTACCTGTTGGATGACAACAGTAGAAACATTCAATTTAATTGGTTGTATATTTATCTTTTAAAATTATCAATAAATATTACATTACTCCGTTGACAGCTCAAACCATAAGTTTATAGATCAGAAGCATAAAACTCTTTTATCTGATCGGTCATTCAATTCGACAATATGAATAATTTTTTGAATAATAAATGACGCAAACAATTGAAATTACAACGTGTTTTTTCAAAGTGAATTAAGTGGTTGTTATAGAGCTTATTATTATTATTTTCTAAAATGAACCAAAATATTTAAACAGATCACTCTGAGTCGAATAAAACAGCGTTTTCAAGAAGGAAACTCTTAAAATAACTTCGTAGCGGCTAATGCAAGCACACTTTGTTATGCTTGATACTACACCAAGCTCAGAGTTGTCCAAAAAACAATAATATAATGGCTGTTCACAACTCAGCTGAAGGTGTCCAGTAAGGGGTGATGTTAAACAAATGGAAATCAACGATTACTAACTGTTGCTACGAAGAACTTTATAAGCTTTTGTCTTTTGTAGAGATAAATGTTTGTTTGTTTTAGAATTTTGCGCAAAGATATGCAAGAGCTATCTACGCAAAGCCGTTCTTAATTGAGGACTGACAGATTAGAAGTAAGTCAACTAGTTGATAGTACCCACTGCCAACAATTGTTAACGGATCGAATAGGGGGATTTAACCATCAATCCTATATGCACCCATGGAACCAAAATGCGAGGAAAGTTTGTGCAGCATCGGGACACGAACCACAAATTCACAATCCGAGAAGGCTAACCACTAGGCCACTTATAAATAAAATAAAAATATTCAGATGCTGAAATGCTATATATTTCAATCCAATATTACATTTCTGAGGTGGAAGGTTACATCATTTATTGTTTAGAGCAGGCTATTCTAGACTCAGCATTTCTAAAATGTCAGCGTTTGATATTTCAACCTTAAATATGTAACTTTGCACAAGGGTAATATGGAAACATTTAGTAAAATGAACATCTTGAACGTCGAAGGAAAAATCGAAATTTTTCTTTTTTAAAATACATTATAATGTAAATGCAGAAAGAAAAAAGAGTATCAATTGAGGGGATTTATGAAAATGATGCATATGATTAATGAGCAACAAAACAATAAAAATAACGTAATGATATGCGTCACCATAAAACTTATTAATCCGTAATCGATGTGAATTTACACGAACAAAATAAGAGGATTTACCACCACGGCGTTTGTCGAATTATGGGATGCGAATAGGTGGACATCATATTTATGTTGAAAGAATTGATACTAGATGCCGCTGCCGCAGCAGTAGCCATATTTGTCATGGATGTAAAATCAGTAGCTGCCATGGTAACATTCAAACCTGGCTCCATGTTCGGGACAACGGACGGTAACGAATCTTGAGACTTGACGAAACTGCTGTTCATCTGTGGTTGGCAAGGTTTTCCGTCCCTGACTAAGACCGGAACGGCAACACGACGAGGTGAAAGCATGGGAGTAAACTCTATTCCTTTTTCTTGACGAGCCCGTTTCGTTTTGTAGCGATGATTTTGAAACCAGATTTTCACCTGTGTTGGAGTCAGTTGTATAATATTCGCCAAGTGTTCTCTCTCTGGAGCTGAAAGATACCGCTGTTGTCGAAATCGTCTTTCTAGTTCGTACGTCTGTGTTTTGGAAAACAGAACACGTCTTTTTCGTTTTTTCTGTGCTTGTCCGTCGGATGAACTGTTACTAAACACGTGCGTTTGTTTTATCTTTTCGGCTTGACTAGTTGGAGGAGAACTGACCGGAGACTGTTTTGTATCGTAGCTGTTTGAACTTTCTGACTCAGAACCAATATTTGAATCACATGGGTCCTTTAGCAATTTCGAGCTCGTAGTTTCGTCCCCTGTGACCTTAACACTGAATCTTTCATCATTGATGACCGATGAAGTAGCCGGTGGACTTCTTAACCTTAGTGGGATATCCTCGAGTGGACAATCCTGAGTAAATTTGGCCCAAACGAGGCCCGTGTTATGAGAAATTGGAGATGGAGTTGGGATCACCGGCGAAGACTGATGAGGTGACGTTACTAAGGCTGACGGATCCTCCCGAAGACTCACTGTGGTGGACCGTATACGTATTGAGGGATCCGTGGTATAAAAGTGTGTGTCGAAGCTTTGGGGTATAATAGGAGAACTGACAGGAACGTCTAACCCCACATGACCAAGCCCACCTACTGGAAAGAAAGAAAATTAAAAATTTTGAAAATTAAACTTGGTGTTTTAGTTATTTTGTGGTTTTAATTCTTTTTTTTCACATGTATATATACAAAAATCACTATCAACGCTATACTGTGAACTAAGAAAGCTTTCATATGTACCAATCCTCTAATCATCAGATACAATATGTATTTTTTCCATAAGAAGTTCATTATCTTGGTAACAGACTTATGCGTTTTGCTGGAATCAATGGATATAAAGAAATAGGCCCTTGCATATGAGTTGCGTGTCTGTCTAAGCTCTCTACGCCACAGGAAATCGAACCTTGGATTTTAGCGGTGTAAATCAGTAAACTTACCCCTGACCCACTGCGAGGACTTGATAGAGGTATTCCCAAGAAGAATTCTGTAATCAATTCTACATTGCATATTTTACATATTTAAAAATTATCTAATTCTCTGACTTTACTTACTTATCCTCTTCCGAGAAATGCCGTATTACAAGTTTTACTATTTTCATCGTTTAAGTTTGTTTGTTAATAAGCACAAAGCCACAGATAGGGGGTGTCTTTGTTCTGCCCAAAACAAATATCAAATCCCAATATTTAGCGTTATAAGTCCTCAGACTTACAGTTTAGCCAGCAGATGGCATTGTTCAACTACATTGGCGTTTTTGTGTATCTTTGTTGTTGTTGTTGTTATTGTTAGTTCTTCCATTTTCATTATAATTAACAGTGAGTGAAGCCGATCAACGACACTGCTAATTCTACCAATCAACTGTTGCCGTAAGACATAAGTTTTTCATAATAAACTAATACGATAAACATAAGAACTAATAAGCTACAGTAAAACATAAGAAGTATGCTAGCCTACAATGATGTGATAGCCAAGTATTTTGTGTTTTTAAAAAGTCCATTACTAGAGGTTGACTCTTTTGCTCAGAAAGCAGAGCACTTGCTTGGCGTACTAGAAATACCAGGTCCAATTCTGAGAGATAAAATGAGAGAATTTCACAGTGATATAAGAAACATATTAATTCTCACTAAGTAGAAGGTAAGGAACATAATTTTAATAAGTTATAAGACTGCTCAAAACATACCCTAATTCATTGTAGCCAAGGTTTAGTCTTAATGAATTTATCATTATACAGAAGAGTAAATATCTTGTACGTTTATGTATTATTGATGTTTAGAAAATACATTGTACGTTCATGTATTATTGATGTTTAGGAAATACATTGTACGTTCATGTATTATTGATGTTTAGAATACTTAAACTACATTATATTGTTAATAAAATTGACTCAAGAGTGAAATGTATGTTAGTGATGTTTCATCAATAATGTTGACTTAGCTATCGCTGTGGCTACTGATACATACTTGTAAAGAATGGGGCTTAAAGATGTATAAATAAATATGTATATATTCTTAATAATTCGCTGTTAATTTTCTTAAATAGCTATATGTAAGACGAAAGAACAATTGTATTTTTGCTGAAAAACAATCTATTTACGGAATTTGCTGACAGATCAGTATCATCCAGTTTTCTGAATAGGACTCAACAAAACGTGTTGAACCATTAAAAAAACGTCAAGCATTTACAAAACGACGTGTTTTCATACACAGTTTTCTGTATAACATCGAGAAGAGCCCAAAGTTCCACGTAACGTCACACAACAAACACAACATTATTGTGCTGACATCGGGAAGAACCCAGAGCTTCACATAACATTATACAATGGACATTATTGTGCTGACATCGGGAAGAGCCCAGAGCTTCACATAACGTTATACAATGGACATTACTATGCTGACATCGGGAAGAGCCCAAAGCTTCACATAACGTCATGTAATGGACTCTACGATACTATACTGACATCGGGAAGAGCCCAAAGCTTCACATAACGTCATGTAATGGACACTACGATACTATACTGACATCGGGAAGAGCCCAAAGCTTCACATAACGTCATGTAATGGACTCTACGATACTATACTGACATCGGGAAGAGCACAAAGCTTCAAATAACGTCATGTAATGGACACTACGATACTATACTGACATCGGGAAGAGCCCAAAGCTTCACATAACGTCATGTAATGGACACTACGATACTATACTGACATCGGGAAGAGCCCAAAGCTTCACATAACGTCATGTAATGGACACTACGATACTATACTGACATCGGGAAGAGCCCAAAGCTTCACATAACGTCATGTAATGGACTCTACGATACTATACTGACATCGGGAAGAGCACAAAGCTTCAAATAACGTCATGTAATGGACACTACGATACTATACTGACATAAGGTAGAACCAAGAGTTCCATTTCCACATAAGGTCACACAAAGACACTGTGCTGACATCAGGAAGGAGGAAAGTACATTATCATCAATTTACAAAAGAAATTAACGCGATTAATGGGGACTGACTCTGTTTGTTAAGCCCCACTTCACATAACCCAAGTACGTTTAGTGGAAAGCATGTATCGTATTTTTCGGTGTATAAGACGCACTTTTTTACCCAAATATTTGATGTCAAAATCTGCTTGCGTCCTATATACCGAAGATATGAATAATATATATGTATATATACGATATACACAAGCTATGTGTAAATATATTTAAATAGGCATGCATAGTTTAGTTCAATTGAATGTGTTATTTATAACAATAGTAGTTTTTTTTTAAACATAACTATTTATAATGCTTCCTAAATAATAAAAAAATTAATTACAGTGAAAGCAATGAAGATTTTGTTGGTTTTGAACCAAACTAAATAACCTTTTTTTGATTTACGGTATTTTCTTATATTGATGTTTTGAGCTCTTTTGTGTTTAGAACAATATATACTAATT